AGTAGCCACAGACAGTTCCCAGGGATCAAGTAGGCCCATCAAGTTGGGAGAATAACCACCCAACCCCAGTGCCTCTTGGTCTCCCAAATGGGATCTCTCAGGCAGAGCCAGTGAAGTCCCCACCATGTCTTTGCCCTTGAAGGGCTGAGACCTCCCCAGATGTGAGCCCTGCTCTCTGATGGTAACGAGAACACACTTCCCCAAGCCAAGGGTCTCTCCTGGGGCCTGTGAGCCCCGAAGGCCTTGAGTCTCCTGGAGAGGCGAGACTCAAGGTCAGACAGATGGACATGTGTGAGACTCAGGCAGCTCTGGCCTTTGAGATGTGTCCCAACCCTCCTCCTCCCCACCATTTCCACGTGGCCTCAATCCCCTCACCTCCTCAAGGCCCCTCCCTCTGCAGAAATGCCATGGCCAATCAGGGGAATTTCCTCCAGTGTCCCTTACTCCTCCTCTCCCTGCCACAGTGCAGGGGCAGCCAGAGAGCTCAGTGTTCACCCACAGGGCCCAGAAATGGGCCAGGGTGGGAGCCGGGTTGGAGTTGTCCGGGCTGAAATAACACTGCCCCCATCTCTAGGGACCCCTGCTGAAGGGTCCAATGCTTCCTGGATGAGGAAAAGCAGATGCTCCTGGGGAGTCCCTGGGGAGCCATCCCTGGTGCGGGAAGAGGACAGAGTGCTAGTCCAGCTGCTCTGCTGGAGGGAGCTGGCCCAGGCTCAGGGAAGGTATAGGAGAACCCTGAGCTCTGGTCCCTCCCACGGTCCTGGCCTGATGGTGAGGCCGGTGCTGCATTCTGGCTCTTCACACTGCCCAGAAGGACCCCTTGCACAAGGGCTCAGCTATGAAATGGCAGCAGCGGGTAGCCAGGGACTGGGCTGGGCTGGGTCCACTTGGAAAAAGATACTCCTGCCCCCTCCCCCACTGCTGGGCCAGCCTCAGGAAAGGGAGGTGGGGCGAGTAGGCTGGAGGTCCCAAGAGCTCTTGAAGCCTAGAGCAGAGGGCAGGGGGCAGAGGTCAGAAATGAGTCATTCCCAGTCTCTGGGCCTAGGTGACCATGCCACATTACCTGGGTGTGCCAGCCTGAATCAGGCGCCCGTACCCACGATGTGCCACGTGTGCACTGGGTCCTCATGTGCACTGCCTAATACTCCTCTCCCAGCACCCCTGTCCATGCACGCCTCGCCCCACTTTATTGGTGAGGAGACAGGCAGAGAGGCTTGGTCAGAGCTGCACAGCCACAGGAGTTAGAGCTGGGATTCCAGCCCAAGGAGTTTGGCAGTTTCCAGTCCTTGCTCTTGTGACCACCCACCACCCAGCACCCCTCGGTGTCTGTATGGTCCATAGTGGGGGAGGGTGTGGGGGGAGGAAGGGTGTGGGGGGAGGAAAGGTGTGGGGGGTGAGAGAGGTCTCCACAGGCACAGAGACTGTCAGCCACCAGGTGGGGCCAAGTCCTTGCTCCTAAGCAGCGTCCTGGTTATCCCTGACTGGACCGTGAGGTGGCAGCAACACTCCGACTGTGCGCCGCTCCAGGCGGGTTGGAGAGTGTGCCCAGACCAGCAGGAGTCTGCATGCCCAGCCTCCCCACCGCTGATGGCCCATCTTATGTCCTCTCCCTCCAACCATGGGGTCAAGGGGGACCTGCCTCTCCCACTGTCTCTAGGCAGACCACACACTCATGCAGACATACAGAAACACACACAAAACACACAGAGACATGCACAGCTAAGGATGCCACCTCTTACTGCATTGAAATGAACAGGAAGGACCAGAAAGTCCTC